GCAGTCTCAAGGGCCTTCGCTATGGTGGAGTTCTCCTTTCTTAGAGTACACCAGCTTGTGTTCTTTCTCTCATTATACACACACACACACATGCCATGACACTTCCTCTGCCATCCTAGCAGCAAAGAACAGGCACTAAGCACCAGATCCATAGAAGCAGGGATCTACCACACTAGAGAAGACCTAAGGTGCAGACTGTGCAGAGGCCTCAGAGACAGTCCAACACATAGTGGCAGGGTGTAAGATGCAGGCAAGAGCAGCATACTTTGAACGGCATAACCAAGTAGCTGGCATTGTGTACAGGAACATCTGCATGGTGTATGGGCTAGACCCTCCCAAGTCCAGATGGGAGATTCCACAAAAGGTCATGAAGAATAACAGGGCTAAGATCCTGTGGGACTTCCAGATCCAGACGGACAGGCAAGTAGTAGTAGTCAACCAGACACTGTGGTAGTAGACAAGGACCAGAAGACAGCAGTAGTGACAGATGTAGCAGTTCCAAGTGACAGCAACATCAGGAAAAAGGAGTATGAGAAGCTGGAGAAGAACAGGGCCTGAAGGAGGAACTAGAGAGGATGTGAAAAATAAAAGCCAAAGTGGTCCTAGTGGTGGTAGGAGCACTTGACCCCTAAGCTGGGAGAGGGGCTCTAAAAGATCCCAGGAACAACCTCAGAGCTCTCTGCCCAGAGGAGTGAAGTGCTAGGAACAGCTCAGATCCTGCGCAGAACCCTCAAACTCCCAGGCCTCTGGTAGAGGACCTGAGATTGAGGAAGACACATGCCACGGTGAGAGAGGATTTTTTTTAATGCCTTGTGAAAGAATGTATCTCTATCACTACCTCTCTCTCTCTCTCTCTCTCTCTCTCTCTCTCCTTTGCTTTTGAAAAGGCAGGAGATAATTCTATGTGTTGAAATCCAACACATCTGGGCAGGCACCAGTTTCAGAAGGCTGTGCTAAAATTTGTGGCACTTAACCAAATTCAGGAAGGGCAGTAGGTGCATTAAAATAAGCTAGCTGGCGTGAACTAGTAAAGCAAGGTGAAAATATACCCATCAGGGATTCAAGTACAGAAACAGTGCTCTGAATCATGTCTTCCCCTTTCTGTTAAAAAGCCTATTTTCTTACTCTGCTGCATTAGAATCTAGGAATTTCATCATTCCAGTGATCAAGTATATTATAAATAAGGCAGTATTTGATATGCTTTCACTTTCATACACAACTTGATGGTTCCCCACCCTCACACCCATGCCATCCCTCAAAGAGTTGTTCTTTTCAACTGCCCTGCAACTTCATCTTTAAGAAATATCACAATCAGACCTGAAAATAGTTTTACAATCCCAGATCAGTCTCCCTCCCTGTTGCAGGAAGAGACTGGCTTAGATGAAGCTGTGGGGTTTGTGGGTATGGTGGAAGCGAAGCTGAGGTGCTGCGATCCGAGTTAGGTTTTATTTGATAGGAAGTGGAGCCCTGCACAGACTCTTGATGCAAAGGAGCTTCTCTCCAGGGCATACGCTCACATGCTTACTAATGCTTCACCTCGACAAGGGCAGTGCAACATTTAGCTAGTGCAGAACAGCCTTTTCCCAAAGGCGAGGACGCTCTGTGCTGAATATAGACGACGGCAGCATTCCCTGCAATTGAACAAATGGAGGCAACGTGGTTTTAAAGTGTGACTGATGCATCATGCATTTAATAAGTCCCAGTGCATCCTGCTGGAAGGAAGGCAATGGGACAAAACGCTGACAGATTTATTTCGAGTATCAGATGGCTCCATTATTAATCAGAGACAGTACCTACCAAGGGAAGGCACAAGAGGCGAGATAAAAATAACCTGGAAGGAAACAGATGGAATTTCTTTCACCTTTTTCTTTAAGGCTTTACAATTCTGTGAACAATAATTGTCGATAACATAGCTTGCCTAGGTTTTGAATGTATGTTTTAATATACCGGCGAAAGGCAGGTAATGTGTGCTACAGTCTTGGTGCTCGGCGTGATAGGCAGAGACCAATCACGCACAGCCTTTTAATCTCCTTCCCAGCCACTGATGCAATCCTACTTTTCTCTCAACCCCATTAACCTTAGCATATAACTTATCCCATAGAACGTATGTGTTACATTTATATTCTGTCTTTCCCCCAGAGGCTTAGCGAGGCAAAGAACATAAACCCACTGAGTTAGGATAAACTGTAAAGGTATAATAGTCCTGACTACATAGCTGTGCAAAAAAATTATAGAACAGCCGGCTGGAGTTGATGTCCAGCACATCTGGAAGGCATTGGGCCTAGAAGATGGTCCTAAGGCAATAAGGATCCCCTAGACATCGCTAACAGATTTTGAAGACCAAGAATTGCTTGAACTGCTAAGGGTGTAGACCAGGGTTCCTCAATCTTGGCAACTTTAAGACAGGTGGACTTCAACTCCCAGAATTCCCCAGCCAGCCTTGCTGGC